TCTATCATTTAGGTATAGGGCATTTTTAGGATGTAAAATGCTGTTACAATAAAATTACTATATGCAAACTTAAGTATTACTTTGTTACAGTTCCAATTGAAGTGGATGAAATAGAGCCAATTTACATATTTACTTGCAGTTGTGTTTGAGTCACACAATCACCTTTATGACCACGTTGATCTGTAAAATAATTGTAGCAATCAGAAGATCAGCAGTTTGAGAGCTTGCAGGTCTTTGCATCTGCAATGTGGAGGGAAGTGGCATCACATGAAAACACTCATGCAAATGGAAAGCGCCTCAAAACTACTTAAGAGTACTTTTTCATTTCGCACCTCTCTGCAGAGAGCCGTCTGTGCTGTGTACTTTTGGTTTTAGATGACACTTTTTAGCTAAAGGTCACACTTCTTATTGACCATTTCCAAAGTCTAAGCTGAATCAAAATGTTAGAAAAGTTAATTTAAGCAATTTCGTTGTCCAAAAATGTAATCCCGAATCCTAATTCAATTTGTATAAAAAGTCATCATATCTGATTGAATTATAACCAGTATGCCATAGTCTGTGACTTTTAGTTAACCTGTTGTGAGATCAATGATAAACAAAGGTTAATTCAAAAAATTTAAATACAAAAACAGCAGGGTTCATGTCAGAATTTTATTTGGATAAAAATCAACAAAGGAAGTAACTAGCCTGGCGCAGCAGACATCACCCTAAAGTGGAACCTGCAAAGAAATGCAGTCAAAAATCAATCTACAACCAATCTGATTAACAAATTTAAGTAAAAATATCTACATAAATCATAATATTTAATATACATTCTTTTTATTCATGGGTTTGCACTTACGGTGTTTTTAAAGAACAGCAACAAAACAAACTTAAAAACATCTCACTTTTATAGTCTATGGCTTGTCATGTATACAAGCTTTTTTTTTTTTTAAAAGGCTAATCATATTCTACATCAGAACTGATGCAGTGCAATTTGCATATGGAGTGCAGGCAGACTATGACACTGACTAGCACCTGCATTTTCAATGAGAACAGTGAACATTAAGCAGTAATGTCAGCACATCTCTGTTACAAGACTCTGGCTTCAGTCTTTGGTTCAACTTGAAACTTTATCCATAAATGAATGACATGTAACATTTCTGCAAAGTGCTTAAAGTCAGTTTAACACAGAGGTGTTTGTAAAGGAAGCAAGCTTCAAGGAACCTACATATGAGCTGTGAAGTGAGTCAAACATATTGCACCCAAAAAAAAAAAAAAAAAAAAAGTGATGGAGGAAGAAATGTGATGGAGGAAGCAGAGAATGAAAAGAAAAAATATTGTGCTGGTGTGTAACTACACAGGTTTGCTGCAAATGTTGCTCCAATGGCTCATGTTGTAGCAGTATTGCACTTAGCATTGCATTTCACTGGAAACAGCCTGAGGCAAAGAAAATCTCTAGTGAATAGAGTCAAACTGTAGAGGTATACTGCACGACTTGAGACTGAATTAATAATAATAATAATAATAATAACAATAATAACAATAATAATAATAACAATAACAACAACAACAACACCAACACAGCTATATTAAACAACTACCACAGCAGCTGCTCATTAAACAAAATAAACACACGAGACAACATCAACCGAGCTTTAAATGAATCAATACTGAACAAAATATTTCAGCTAATAGTTGTAGGCAGCATTAAAGCACCAAACGGTTCAACAAAAGAAGCAAAAATGAGAATCAGCAAGCCTATGTCTGATCAGAACACCACAAGGACTCCCTGGTCCACCGCCTGCACTCAGGTTAGCCTGATGCTCGAGGGTCATCAAGGATATGAGGCATAGGAAGGCCTATAAGAATTTGACACAATTTAAACAAAATCAAAATAAAGCAAGTTAACTCAAATTCCTTATAGAAGAAACTGCTAATGGCCCGTCACCTTTGTTGTTCATCCTGTGCGGTGTTGACTTCAGTATGGATGAGGTTGTGTACATTATATCAGATAAAAACTGTTGTCTCACAGAGGCTTGACTACATTAGAGACACATCTCTCAACAACAGCTAATTAATACTATGAATAGTTTAGAGTGTGAAGTGCCATTCCTGTCTGATATGAACACAACACAAAGAGGTCGTGTTTCTCAACACGTAGCAGACAACTGTGATTATGTGTGCAGCCATTCTCCATTTCAGCTACAGACAGAGGCACAAAGCGGGGAGAGGGGAGGGAGGTGACATGTTCAAGCTTTGCTTAAATTAAACTTGTACTGAGCGACAGTGCAACTACTGCAAAAGTGCACAGTGAGCATAAACAGCGGCTAGTAAAGCAAACACTTGCTTCAGCCCAGCATCTCGGAAAGAGCGACTGTATAACTTTCTTCCTGTTCTCGGTCCTTGTTCTCTCCATCAATCTGACTAAAAATACTGCAGTAAGTACTTGAAGCTGACAACTGAGTATGGTATAATCCTGTAGCATGACTTTCCTACTGAAAATCCTGCTCTTCAACAGGGGGAGGATTTTGCTCTCTGAGCATCAGCTAAATCCAATTCATCACACAGCATCCCTCTCTACAGACCTGACAACCCCAGCCCTCTTACCAGGCAAGGGCAGGACAGTGCCAGCATTGTTGGCATCTATATTTACTTAGACGTGATAGAGGGACTGACCCTACAAAGGACATTTTTGCATACTTAAAAGTGTTTTGATAGCAACATGCAAAAGGGAGTGTCCTCAGGTTATCGTAAACAAAGAAACGCCCAAAGCTGACAGTGGGGAGCTAAAAAATATATATATGATGGACCAGACACATTTAGTTGGTCAAAAACGTCTTAATGGCTTTTACAGCGCACCTCTGCAATCCCTTTCCTTTGCTTAAGTTTTTCCTAAAAGCCTCCAATTTGTAATTAAAAAAAAAAAAAAAAAAAGAAAGAAAGAAAAAGAGTTGTCAGGCAGGAAATCCCACAGCTACAGAGAAGTGGCACTTTGACACAGTCCCTACTGTGCAGAGAAGTAGTGAACAGTAGCACACAGTCAGTGACCAGGGCAACTTGAGAGGAAATCACTGTAGTGAAATTTTAAATGTGTATTGATAACTGAGAGCTGGACTTTCTGCTGCTGTAACAAAAAAAAAGGGGAAAAAAAGAAAAAACATTTTAAAATATCAAAGCAATGATTGTCACTGAAAGACCTACAAGATGTATCCTAAGTGTACTTGTCTACAAACTAATGCAGTCCAGTCTTTGTACTAGCATTATTATATCACTACAAAAATGCACAAGGCAGGGCACTCTGTGCCTGTGTAATGTTCTACATTTACTCTGATCATTGTATATTGCTGAGGGTAGAACAGAAGCTTAATTGGAAAGGCCAGCGATGTCAGAACAGCTGCTGCTACACACACACACAAAAGCAGAGGTAAATATTCAGCACACTGAAAAACATGGGGGGAAAGAAATGAAAAGAGTTCGTTATATAATATAGGACAGAAAAGAACAATTAAGCCTGGCATAACTGCAATAAAAACTGATATAAATAACAAAACTAATACTACTGCATAGAATTCATAAAATGATTTAAAACTGCAACAAATATGAGAAAAGAAGTGAATCAATTATCCAGTTTCAAGTGTTTCACGCTGTTGTTCTAGCTTTGTAATTCTATTTTGGAGAGAGTCTACACAGTTACCATCCACAAAGTGAGCTGTATTGACTGCTAAACTGGCGTAATTGAGAACACAATGTGGAGCTATTAAGTGTTATTTAGAGTCGCTCCCTAACGGACAAATGGCCATTCTGATAGAGGTGACTCCACACTGAAGCATACAGTGTCCCTACTACTATCTGATTAGGGCCTCGAATCACTGCCTCGGCCTATATGAATCACCCATTCAGGCCTCGTCTCGAGAATAGTCTGTGCCTCTTTATGTCCGAGCCTTTGCTGCCTCACAGCAACTCTGTTAAGTACGACTGCTGTGTGTGTGTGTGTGTGTGGGTGAGTGCTGGTCTTTGATCTAAGTAGCTGCTAAATAATTTTATTCTAAAACATGACTGTCTCTTGTGGGTGCGTTCACTTTGTCTGCCAGATTTGCGTTGGTGTATAATGGTGCACAGACAAGTGGCAGGAATTGTAAAGCAGAGGAAGTTATATTTCAGTGCTCCTCCTCTGCTGTTTTTTTGTCTCTCAAACACTGGGCGATATGCTAGACTGCATTTCCCACCCCCTGTCTGTTTTCAGGATGCTTTGCCTTGCATATAGGCACTACGCTGCCTAAATTTGTTCGACTTTCATTTACTCCTTCTCTCTTCGCTCCTCGAGTGAAATGCAGTCCCCCTTTTTAATTATATAGCCTTATTTAAGCCCCAATGCCACCAGCATCAGTGTTATTCTGGGCTGCCACAGCAACTGCGCCCTCCCCATCAGCAATTTTAGCCCCTCTCCCGACAGCTAGCTCTCCTCCCTCAGTGGGGCCAACAAAGAGAGAACTGGTTTCCCCTGAAGATGCTGACACACCCCCGTCGGTCCGTTCCAACTTGCGGTGCTTCCGTGGCTCTGGGGGTGTGTCCTGTGTGAAGACGGCGCGAATTCGCTCCACGCAGACATTGGCAGCCTCCCTCGTCTCCCTTGAGAGTTGAGATAGGCTGAGAAAGCCATGGGGTAAGTCGTCCACCACACAGAGAGTGACGGGCTGGTTTATGTTCCTCAAACGCTTGGCAAACATTACAGAGTCGTCCAGCATAGGGTCTAGTGCACAAGCCTGAGGGTGGGGAGAGAGAGGAAAAGAAGGGTTAGAAATGGTGAGAAGCAAATCTGGATTCCCTTCAGACATGTCATGAATCTTAATTAGTGGATGAAGAAAATGAAGCCAAGCATCCTCAGTCTCTTTTGTCCCCAATTTCTTTACATTCTCGCTGACTCACTCCAGCGAATTTAAAAAAAACAAAACAAAACCCCAACAACAACAAAAATAAGAAAAGAGAAAAGGAAAAACATAACTTTAACCTACCCTCTCTCTCCCATCACACTGTTTCACTTCAATATCTGTAAACCACGTACATCTTTTGGTATGCTGTCAGTTAGCACTTTAATGCCTCTGCAGCACCATGTATAGTATATAATGCATCGAAAGGGATTGTGTAATACAATCAAAAGCTCCAATTCCAGCCAGTGATGACACCATTGCCCCCCAAGTATCAACTTTTAAGTGAACAATAAGTCTTCAGAAAGTGCTCAGAAGACTAGACAGTAAATATGTACAGTTATGTGACACACAGTTAAACTCCATCTACTGAGGGAGGCTGCGCTTCCACAGAAAACTCCATAGCCACTACCATGGGAGTATGTGCTTTTGCCAGTCTACCTTTATAATGCTCAACTTATACTTGAAGTTGAATCTCACACACCTTCTCACAGAAAACACTTTACTATAAAATATAGACTACTGTTAGCACACAATGAGTAACGCAAACAATAGATTTGTACAAGTAACCTGCGAACCAGTAATTTCAGTAATTAACCGTTTACGTCCTCTTACCACTATGTGTACAGGTGGCAGCCCTTTCAGCATGCTGTCAGGGGCTAGCAGAGGTGAGCAGAAAGGATCCTTGACCACTGGAGAGCTCTCCACCTTCATCTCTGCTAGTTGCTCTGAGCGCAGTGGCTCAAACCCAAGAGGAAATTCCCTGGGGTGCTCCTGCTGTGAGCCCTCCTCTCCAGCAGGGGGTGGTATGGCCACTGAAGACAGGTCAGTGATCACTGAGGGATCTTCATCTTTGGCAAAGAAGAAACTGACATCTTCTGGCTACATAAAGGATGAGAAAATATTAGGTTAGTTCAAAGGATATCTTTATATCAATAAAAAATAAGAAAGGCTAAAACATTTTTACAAGAAAAGTTGGTTTTATAAGTCCTATAAAGTTTATTCTATCCATCTGGATTCAGTTTTCAGTGGGAGAACTGCTTCATCACTCGTCCAAATGACTTCTTCAATCTAAGCTGACTGCAGGTTTTCCCAAACTTACTAAACATTACAGTTGCATAATGACTGAAACTTGCACCACTGCCTAGCGATGAGCCATGAGCCACAGTTATGTAAACACACACGCCACTTTGTCCTTGGAAAAATCTTGGCTCAGTGCCTGACTCTTGGCTGAGCGATTCCCATTTCAGAAGGAAAAGCATATTTAATATCTTACGTCACCTCTGCTTGCTAATTTTGCTTGCGCCAGCCACTAATCCAGTGTGCCTGCGAGAAAATATGAGGATAATCTGCAACACCTTGCCAGTACTCGCACAACCAAAACCTTTTGATATCCTGTCAGCATTTCAAAGCCAAATCTGTTTGTGAGGGATGGGTGACACAATCTCGGATGAGTTCATCAAAGTGACACATGCACATCACTACAGGGTAGACAGCATTGTTTGATCAACGGCCAAAATATTTCAATGCCCCAAAAATGTTCGACCTCTTAAAAAGGCTACAACTGCGTGCCAAATCCTTTTAAAGCAAGCTGAAAGCATAGATATCCTGATCAAAGACAAGAGGCTAGTGGGATTTCACTTCACTAAAGTGGTGCTACAATCATCATTAAATTACCCATCGTCAAATACCGACAGGTTTAATTCTCACAATGATTCCCACTAACAGCCAGGTGTTATTAAAGAAACAGATCTTGGCCATTTAATACTGTTAGGTTCTTCTGCATAAGAGCATCAGCTGAAAGCAAGCTGTTCAAGCATGACCTACAGCACGCTCAGAGAGCAGCGGTGCACTGCTGGGAATGGGATTGCTGTGGGATCCCAAGTTCTGGCACGTCTGGCTCTTCACTGATAATTTCCTGTTGGGGAACTCCGAAAGATCCGTGGGGACAGGTGGGTCTGTATGAGGAGAAGAGATGTTCGCCTCCGAAATGCTCTTCCTCACTGCATCTAGGAAGCAAGGACAGAAGGAACCATATTGATGAATGCACAACTGAAATTAAGAATGCCAATGAGAAACAAACATATAGTACAATTAAGTTTCAGAAACGACACAGGATTGACAGATCAGAGCATATTAAGAATGAAGAGGGCATTTAGTTCATTAGGACTAACCGCAGTTGAAGGACACATGAAAAATAACACTGGTGACACACAATCACTTTCACTTCATCTACTGTTTCCACTTATCATGTGTCCTCTGGTTGACAGCCAATAGTTAAAAGCCTAGAATGCAAATTGAGCTATATCTGGAAGAGATGAGAAGTAGGTGGAGGAAATTCAAAAAGTGCTGTCACACGATGATAGCATCTGCCCGCCCTGAACTGTCAAAACACAGCAGTTAGTAGCTGGTCTCACAAAGCTCTACCGATCTCCTATCTCTTTAATAATGAACCATCTCAGCACCATGATGGCCTTTTACTAATGTACACCCACCAATGATACTCTCATTAGACTGGGCTTGCAGCTGTGGGGGTGTCACGAAGGTAAGGGGCACACCAAGAAAATTACAATTCGCCACCAGATTTACGGTGGCTACAATTAACAATTACTGTCAATGCTCTGCTACCCCAAAGATGAGAACTGATATGAATATGGATACAGGAGTACTACACAAATGGTTTGGCTAAAGCAATAATTAGTTAGATGCTGCATAAGAAGTTCTCATGTCACTGACCTCTTTCATGAGAGGTGTAAATGAACTTGGGGAACACTTATATTAATTGGCTCAATGAAAACACAGAATGTGGGAGATATACACCCACACATATCTGAGCAGGGGCAGATGACCAAGACATGGACAGACTGCAACTACCTATCAAATACATTCAAGCCACACCTAATGTTCCAACCTGACAACTAACAACTATAACAGTTACTTGTATACCTGTGGCTTCTGTTGGTGCCTCTGGTGCTGTGCTGGTGGAGGCTGGAGCTCTGCTAGAATCGAGCAGAGAGTGGATCCAGTTGGAGGCTCCCTGTCGGAAATCTCGCAGCAGAAGTGCAGTGTCTCTCCTCACCAGGCTCAGCGTGCTCACCTTCTCCACCTGCTTCTCAGTCTGTGGCCCACTGCCTGGAGAAGAAGACATAAAAGAAGGAAGTAAATGTACAAAACGGATAAAAGTGTTTGTTATTCTTCAGTAAGCACAAATGAATAACAACAGAGAAGACAGGAAAGCAATAATAAGAGAGGTATAATAGTCCAGTAAACGCTGACAGAGTGCATTCAATACTGCCATACAATTATTTGCAAAGCCAACAATACACAATGTGGACAGCAGGAAGGAACAGAAAAATGATGAGTGTTTTAGTTCAGTTATTGAAAGGAGAGTCAGCATAGCCAATCTCTTTGTCACAAATTGTTAGCCAATTCCTGCAGTCATTCATTGTCCTCAGTTCTCCTGCCTTGTGAAACTAAAATTTATCATCAACACACACACACACACACACACACACACACAGTAATAACATGGGGATGGTTGGTGATATTAAAGTCCTGTTTGTGGCATATTAGTATATGTGAGGGGGCAAACTCCTCAAGATGGGTGGTGACCATGGTGGCCATTTAGAAGTCGGCCATCTTGGATACAACTTT